ACCGCTGGCTTTGCAGTGAGCAGCCTGATCGTGAGTAGCTTTGCCTGAGGAGCCCCTGGTAGCTTTGAACCGCTGGCTTTGCAGTGAGCAGCCTGCAGTGAGAAGCCTGGACCAACTGGGCCACCAGGCTTCTTCTGTCTCTGGCTCGGCTCTGAAACCTCGTCCTTGGCGCTGTAAGCATTGCAGTCTGCAGCACCGGGGGCTCCAGAGAGTCTGGGGGAGATCGTCGTCAACTGTCCACGTTTCCACGAGCTCGGCGGCGCGGTGAAGCACTCAGCCTGGTGCTCAGTCTCCCCAACGCCCCTCGGGCTGGGCTGTCATCAGACCTGGGCCCTCTCTGGCTTTCCTCGTGGTCTGTTCTGAGGGACTGGGCCTCGGGTCTCCTTCTAGCCTGCCTTCACCACAGCCCCACTGCCCCCCTACCTAGAGCAGAGGTCAGGGGGCCCGGCCTGGCTTGGTGCCTGCACGCCCACCTGCCAGTTCAGCTGTCTGGGGCCAGACAGAGGTACTGACTTTGGAAGGGTGGGAGTTGCCCTTGTGTGGGGGGCGCCTGGCCCCATGACCTTGCCTTGAGGAAGGGAGGCCGGGAAAGGCGGCCCCCACAGCCCGGCCAGCAGTTTCCTCTGGGAGTCGGTGAGGCCGGCACGTACGCAGCCCTGCCTGAGACCCCGAGTCTCAGGGAGCTCAAGAAGGGGTGGGCAGGAAGTGGGACTTCCCTCCCCGGGAGTGATGTGACGGGAGCCACACAGCCAGGTGGTGAGCTTCTCGTGGAATGCTCCACGAGTGCTGAGCAGGTGGGTGGGGTTGGCATCCGGCCTCAGGATCCGAGACACTTCAAGGGGGGGTCACCACAAACAGACCACGGCTGGTCTCAGCCTTTGCTCCTTTACTAGACACAGAACTCTCCTGGGTGAATGGGAGCCCACACAAGTTATGGTCCCCTCCACCCCACTCTGCTGCTGCCAGCAGAGCCCCTCGGACAGTCACGTGCCTCCCCCATCCTGACCCCAGCTGGACCGAGCGGCCACCCAGCTGCTTCCTGCGTGAGATGCCGGGGACAGAAGAGCCATCACCTGCCCGTGTGCCATGTGCCCGCCCGTATGCCCACCTGTATCTGTCGTGGGCCTGCGTGGGCCCGCCTCTGTGTACCCATCTGTCTGCCTCTGTGTGTATGAGAGGGCTTCAGAAAGCAAAGGACGGTGATGAAACTCTCTAGAGCTCTTTGAAGTCCGCTGTTGATGTGTGTGTGATGTGAGTGTGTGGTGTGTGTGCTCGTGTACCTGGGTAAATGCAGGTTTCAAGAAGTATGTGGGGTGTGTATGGATTGGGATAACAGTTGTATGAGCCCCTAATAAAATGTTAAAAAAAAAAAAAAAAGTATGTGGGGGGGAATTCTGCCCTCCCCTACCCCTCACACACCCAGCTCCAGATTTGCCCTCGTGTGTGGGCCAGCACCACTTCAGCTTGAGGCCATGGTACACATGGGTGGCACTGACCTCTCCCCAGCGCCTTTGGGTCCCAGCCATAGGGAGGTCTGCCCTGCCAGGGTTTGAGCTGGATTGGGTGACGTGCCCTGGCTGGCAGGGAGGTGGATGGGGACAGGGTGCCCCAGGAAGACAGGCCTCCCGTCCCTCACACACTCCCCTTCTCTGTCCCCTCAGAACATTGACATCACCAATTTCAGCAGCAGCTGGAACGACGGACTAGCCTTCTGCGCTCTCCTACACACCTACTTGCCTGCCCACATCCCCTACCAGGGGCTCAGCAGCCAGGACAAGGTGAGGGCTGGCCTGGCGGGGTGGCCTCCCAGAGGGCACCCAGCCTGGCCTCACTGACCCCTTCCCTTGCAGAGACGGAACTTCACCCTGGCCTTCCAGGCAGCAGAGAGCGTGGGCATCAAGTCCACACTGGTAAGCTCCCCCGCCTCCCAGCCCACCTCCTGCAGGCAGCAGCACGGCCTGGTCAGTAAACAGGGGTCCCAAGGAAGCCCCTGAGCTGCTGTATGGGCTCTGGCAGCCACTGGGTTTCACCCTGGGAACAGCCCCCTCTTGTCCACCTCCCCAGCCGAGCCCGGGGTTTAGGGAAGTGCTGGTGTGCAGACACTGGAAGGCCGCCAGCCCTCCTTCCTCAGCCTGCAGGTCGGGAAAGCCGGGGCCAGAGGGTTCCGGCCCAGCACAGTGCCCTGGATAGGTGGTCCCTGGGTGGGCGTGGCTGGGAGCCCCACAGGAGGTGAGGAGTCTGGGCCTCTCTCAGGACATCGGTGAGATGGTGCGGACGGAGCGGCCCGACTGGCAGAGTGTCATGCTGTATGTGACGGCCATCTACAAGTACTTCGAGACCTGAGTGGCCCAAGCCTGCTGTGCCTGCAAACCGCACCCTCCGGAGTGGACACTGCCCTGACTCGGGCCCTCACAGCCAGGCCGAGGACTGACCCATGCAGGAGTGGCACGAAGCCCAGTCAGGCCGTTTGGCATCTGCAGGGTGGTTGCTCAAACAGCCCCTGCTTCACGGCCCCTGGGCTGGGCAGCCTCTGCCCTGTGCTGCTGCTGCTGCCCCTTACCACATGACACGGCCTGCCCGCTAGCCAGTGGGGCTCTGGGGTGTGCAAACCCCCATTGACCGGGTGGCATCATGCCTCTGGGCTCCTGCTGACGGCCTTCCCCTAGGGCCTAGGCCCCCCGCCTGCCCACCCACTTGGGCTGAGGTATCCTCCCAAGACCTGCTGCTGAAGGCTTCTCATCACAGTGACTTGCTGCGCATCTGTCAGGGAGCAGGCACCAGGGTGAGCCTGTCTTCAACAGCACCGGAAGCAGCTCAGGGCTGGGCAGAGTGCAGAGAGGCCGGGAGGGTGGGTGGGATCTGAGCAAGTGCCTTGACTTATGGCAGCCCAAAGGTGATGTCAGCCTCCCTCCCCATCCCCGGTCTGCCGGGCTGGTGAGGACCAAGGCTCAGCTCGAGGTGTCTTGTGAAGTGGCTCTGGCCTGCGCAGTCACTTGGGGTCACGCTGTTCTGGGTGTGGACCGTTTGTGTGTGTGCCACGCCCGTGGACCATGGCCTCTGGGCGGCCAGGCTGCCTACTGCCCTCCCACTGTCCGCCACAAAGGACCAGTGAGCAGCCAAGCACCAGATCACCCAGTGACCACACATCCCGCGACTCCCCAGACACCGATCCCCAGATGAAGCAAGCCCTCATAGACTGACTCCACAGATGGCGACCCCCAAGTGAATCCCCCACAGACACCCCTTTCTACCGACGCAGCTGCCTGAGCCGCGCGGCTGTCCTGGAGTCACCGTCCACCATGTGTCCGCACAGACCTCCACGTTCCTGCAGTCGCCCTCTGTGCCTTGCCAGGCCTGGACGGGCTGGCCCGGGGAAGCCCTGGGTGTTGGAGCAGGACTCTGGCCCCGTCTCACAGGCTTCACAGGACTGACCGAACCGCAGGAGTATGCGTTAAGTGGTGGTGGCCCGGGATGTGGCCACCGCTGCCCCAAGCATGGCCAAGGCCAGCGCCTATGGCTTCTGTGAAATGTCCTTGAACAGCGAGAGCTGTCCAGGCTGGACACGCTCCTCTCCAGGGTGACCCCCACCTGAGAGGATGCGGTGTGGTCCAGACACTGCCTCCTCGGTGATGGAGCTGGAGAACCCCCCCTGGCAGAGCTCAGCCGAGACAGGGCCAGCCAGACTGCTGACAGTGAGGTCCCGAGACCCCAGAGCCCCAGCAAGGAAGCCTGTCCTCGCCCACATGTGGGTTCCCCTGGGTGGTGGCAGGGGCTACCTCTCAGTGTAAAGTCACAGACAGCCGCCAGGGGCCCTGCTACTATCCTTACCCTGTCCCTGACAGGGTCGGGGCCTTCCTGGGTACCTGACA